AAATTTGGCAAATCAGTGCTAGTCCTTGGCAGGACAGTAACCAGAGACCCACCAAAACCAAGAAAAAGATATGTGTTGCCTAAAACCTTCTGCATATCAGACAAAAGTAAAAAGTGAAGTTGGACTGAATAATGACTGGCATGGCCATGAATGCCTTTTGCGTGTTTTCTGAAAAAAAAAAAAGTGAGCAAAGAAAGTGCCATTCCTGGAAACCTGGAAAACATCAAGGCCTCCCTCCAACAGATACTGGAAGCAAGTGGGTAATTTCAAGGCAAAACCAGGCAATAGGAGACAAAACTCCTCAGATCTCTGAGATACATACACAGATATACATCAGCTCTAGATATTACCTCTATCTTAAGTGATAAATGTCACCTAAGATCTCCAATATGTCTGATATATCTACCTTGATATAAATCACCTCTAGAGAGCTCCTCACATGCCCAATATATGTCTGATACATACATCTATGATATATGCCACGGGTCTGGAGCTCCTAAAATGTCCAATATATATCTGATACATCTCCCAGTATGTATCATATACATAACCACTAGAGAGCTCCTCAAATCTCCAATGTATGTCAAATACATCTACCATGCTATATAGAACACCTCTACAAAGCTCCGCAAATCTCCATTAAACATCTACATCCCTTGATACACACCACCTCTGGAAAGCTCCTCAGATCTTCAATACGTCCGTCTACCTCGATATATGTTATCCTGTATGGACCTCCTCAGATCACCAACATATGTCTAGTATCCCTTGATGTACTACTGCTCAGATCTTGAATGTACATCTGATATATGTGCCTCGATACACATCACCTCTAGAGAGCTCCTCAGACCTCCAATATACATCTGATATATGCACTGGATGTGTATCACCTGGCGGAGCGCTCCTCAGATCCCCAGGATCCATCCAGTACATTTACCATGCCACACACCACTACTGAGGAGCTCCTCCAGTCTGCAAAACATGCCTGTGGTACACATCTTCAACATCTCACCGGCAGAAAGCCGCACCTCGCCTTGTGGAAGCTTCATGACAGCCATTCCCCCTGGTTGTAAGTCTACCCCGAAACCCCTGTAATGACAGCACTCACGTTTTCATGCCTTCACACACTACATCCATGATTGCATTCAAGGGTACAGAAGAGGAGGGGCCATGGGGAAGGTCCCACAGAAAGTGCCGTTCCTGGAAAACTCGGCGACATTGAGGCCTCCAGATGTTGGAAGCAAGTGGGTGATTTCAAGGCAAAACCAGGCAGAAACAGCCCAACAGTGATAATGCAAAATAGCTGTTTGTACAGTGTTTCAGTATCACCGATGTGATTTCTCCACCCAGCCTTCCAAAACACCATCTGACTTCTCAACACTATTGTTTTAGCACCCATTTCTGTGTCTGCTCTTGCTCCAAAACCTTCTTCTTCCATCCAGAAATTGGACCCAAAACCTCCAAACATGGAAACCTTGGTGAAGGAGCAGGAAGGGCAAGAAGCCTCTTGACTCCTCAGGCATGTGTGAGTCCTGCCAAAAGGTTTAGAAGCTTAATCTGGGCTATGCTAAACACTCAGATGGGTCTTGAGTTCCCAAACTCTCCAACTGCAACAGCAGCTTAAATATCATTAAGGATATTTACGATCAGGAATAAAAAACCAACGGGCTCGTGCCTTGGAAGAGCATGCAAGGGCTGACGCCAAATACCTGTCAAGGACCCAGGATTTGACCTGCTTTGGATTTGTCCTGACAATGTTACAAAAACTTTGTATTTTGCAGCAATCTGTCATCCCCATAGAGTCTTTTTCTCCCATGGGAGAGACTTTTGTCATCTGGGCTTGCTGCAGGAACAAAACATGAGAACTGGAAGAAAAGAAGCAGATAAATAGGGCTTTGCTAGTGCTAAAATAGCTTTGGCAGACTCTGCAGTCCCAAGTGATGCAGATTTTCTTCTTTGGAGGTGATCAGGGCTGAGATCTTGGATGCTGCATGCACCTGCACTGACAGGACATAAACAGCATTTGTGTGGTTTCCGCACAAAAGATGCAATTTTTGTCCCTGTCACAAAGAGTGCAAATAGCCAACCCCACCAGCAACATTTCCCCAAACACCCTTGCAAAGGGAGATAAATCTTTTTCAGCCAGCACACACTTTTAGCAACTTCAAAAGGCATCCTTTGAAGTTTAGCAGAGGCCTTTGAAGTCCTCCTGATGCAGGAGGAATGGAGGGGATGCCTCTCCAAGATGTTCCACTGCAGGCAACACAAGCTGCTGAGACACACAGTGTGGTGGGTACCCACTGTCACGTGGAGCATCCGCAGGAGGGTTACAAATGAGACACCCGTCAATGGCAATAACATGACTGCATCACGTCATTGCACGGATTGCATCAATGGCAATCCCCAAAACATCCTAAATCCCCATCTTCCCAACCTGAATGACATACAACAGTGGAGATGGGATCCCAGGTCAGGTACCAGCATCCCAGGACCTGAGCCTGTACCCAGGCTGCAAACCAGGTCCGCTAGAGCATCTCTGTTAATAAACATTTAAATAAGGGTAAGTAAATGCTAATTAAGATGATATTTAGTTAGAAAGAAAAAAATCCAGGATCTTTGCAAAAAAATTAGGGTTTTTAAGCTCTGACTGAAGATGTTTTCTGTCAAGTTACCTTGCTTCCAGTGTGAGCAGATCACAATGCTTCCAATGTCAGCAGGTCAGTGCCATTTAATTGTGGCTATTGGTTTTTAACAAATTTAATACCAGCTCCTTTGACCTGAGTAAAAATAACAAACGGTGAAGTCCCCCTAATAATGCTTTGCTGAAATATTTTCACTACCCACTCTACACTTGGAAGTCTGTTGCAAGCTGTGCCGGCCCCAAACTCTACATATGTGGTAAAAACTAGAGAAACCCTGTATATGTTCAAAACAGTATAAAAGCTCAAATTTCAGGTTTACTCTTTTAGGAGCTCCAGCCTTAGCCAAGGGGTGATCGTGGCTCCCCGAGCACAGTCATGCAGCTCCAACAGCCAGTGCAATCTGGAATGAGGAGCATTGCAAGAAAAACCTTTGATTTGTGTGTTTTTTCCCAGCTGTGCAATTTCTTTTCTAACTTCAGCAGCCTCCGAACATGGTTCAGAGCTGCAAGGTGGGGATGCTTGCAGGTGCAAAGAGCAATATGGCATTTTCATGCTTCCACCTCCCCAGATCCATAGGCTAAACCTGATGATGCCTACCCTGTTTCATTGCTCAGAGAGTAAAGAGAGCAAAAAGAGATTTAAAACATGCTAATATGCATGCGATATTTCTGCTCTTCCACAACAGTGAAGCCATGGCACCCAGCACCATGGTGAGAGGCAGTCCAGGATATGAGACAGTTGAGTCCACCAGCAGAGCCCAGCCCCTCTATAGGCGATTTGCATTATCTAAGGGGGGGCCACATATGGAAGTACTGGAGACCACCCCCCCCGTGCACGTGTGCACATCTGGGCATGGGGAACAAAAGCGTCACACCGATAAATAATGGAAAGTCAAAGTGCCCCGCAGAAGTGGCACCATACTGTTCAGCCTCAGGCGAGATGGAGGAAAATTCGGTGCCCATGAGGTCTGGAACAGTGGGATTAATAACACATCAATTTTAATGCAGGGTGGGGTTTTTTTGTTGTTTTTTTTTTTTTTTTTGGTTTTGGGGTTTTGTTTTTTGTTCTCCCCTCCACCCTCTCTCCCCCCCCCCCTCTTTTTTTTTTCTGCTTCACAAACAGCAAAGTGAATGTTTGAGCATCTCTGCGGGGGGTTAATGAGGACTCTGATTAGTTATTCAGATTTGCCGATGCTGCCTCCATCCATCCTCAGACAGGGAATAGCAGGAAAGGGTTTGCAGAAAAGCTCTTAAAGACAACCTGCGTGGCTTTCACAGCCTGACTGTCTGCAGGTCTGGGGGAATTCATGCTGCAGGACTTCTCAAAAACCCTAGTGCCAGCTTTAGGGCAGAAAAGCACATTAGGAAGATGTACAGATCATTTGTGGGGGAATCAGAAAAACTCCTGTGATACAACCCATGTTGGGCAATGCTGATTCCTACAAAGACTTGAGGGAAAATATTTGGATTTTTTTTTTCTTTTTCACATAAAAAACAAACTCTTGAGTGCTTTTAATCAAATTTTGTACAATTATAGGGTGAGCCACATGAGCAAAAACGATGGAGACATGAAAAGAAGGAAGGAAGGCACTGTCCCAAGAGCTGCCACCAGACTGCAAAAATGCAGCATCTTCCAGCATAGCAATATTTTACACAGTCTCACATAATAAAGTGCTAATAAAGTGCTTTATGTCCTTGCACAAAAGCAAGTAGCTCACCTCTTCATTTCTTGGCACAGAAATTCATTAACCAGGTTGAGCTCACTCACCACGGAAAAGTTGGGGGGGTTATTTCCAGATTTACACTTTTGTCATTCACCTGCATCAGAAAAATGAACCTGAGCAAGTAGATAGCAGGTACCTGTAATGATGCTGCAGAAAGGTTTGAAGGAGGGAGCTGGAGCGGCATTTTGTAACACTGCAAAGGGGTTTTGTCAAGCAAGCTGGGCACTATTCTAGTATCCACAGGTGTGGTCAATATGCAATATTTTAGGGCTAGACACAGTGGTGTCAATACTCTCTCAATGGTGAATTTGTCCCAGCAATGAACACTTTATTTCTAGTCCACTGGAGAGACCAAGTTGGTTCTTGCTTTGATAGAAAGCATCACTCAACGTAGTGCTCAACGTTTTTTGGGGGGGAAGCTGCTAGGTATCCATATCACTCCCTATCATGCCCACCAGTTCTGTTGGAATTCAAAAGAAAGACAAACTGGAGTCAAGCAGTTGGTTCTGCAAATGTCAGGCAACGTGCCGGGGCTCTCCAAACCAAATAGGCTCTTTTCTCTGGGATCACCTCCATATGCTTTGTTTCTGTTTTAAATGGCATGCTAATTGTTCTGAATTAAGAGCTCCAGCTGGAGGAGCAAACAAGCAATTTGCAACCTTGAAGATAACACCCAACTCATCTCAAGTGATTTAAGTTTTGGGGGGAAATCTTGCCCTTCTGGTTCTGGAGTGTGAATGCTAACAAAAGAAAATGTCTGAATGCATGCACTCGGGCTAAAATTACATTGCTGACATAATTAATGCACCCATTTAACAGAAGTGGATATTAGCACCCAGCCACAGGAGGAGGTGGGATGGTAAGAAAAAAAGAAGAAATCGCTGCACTTGGCTTTACTTTAGTGAAAACAGAGATATGAGCTGCCCTTTTCAGTGCTGGGCAGTTCTAGCAACTACAGGTAGGGCTCATGAGTATTCCCCTCCCCTTCTTTTTTAAATTTCATTTACATTTTGTTCCACAATATGCATGTTCTTAAAACAAGATATCTTTGAAGCTTTATCTCTTTGCCATATTTTTTTTTCATTTACTGCTAGATACAGGAGGTGAGAAAGACTGCAATCATTGTTTGTTTACAACTCCAGATATTCAATATTGAAGGGTGTTTTTTTGTTTGTTTGTTTTGTTTTTAATTTAAATAATCTTTTTCAGCAAAAACAGTGACCAATTAAAATTATTTTTAGTATCTGCCATGGTGTGGGATTTAAGAAGCAAATTCTGTCCTGCCATGTCTTGTTTCAAGAGAAACAAATGCTGCAAGTTGTGAAAAAGACTACAGAAAAGCTACTTCTCTGAAGTGAATACATTATTGCTGAGGAAATGCAAGAAAAGAAATCCATGATTGTGACTGGGTATCTGCCACAAGACTGAGGGGAAACTCCTCTTGCTACCCCAGCCAAGCCTGAGTTGGGAGTCAATGTCCATCCACTCCCAACAGCTTTCCGATGGCTGTGACCCATCAGAGGACCAGCATAGTGGCCAGAGTCATGGTCCAATGAGATCTTCTGAAGATGGGGGCAATTCTCCCTGTTTCTCTGTTTCTCAGGTAACTGAGGGTTTAATTGCACCACGAAGAAGGGAAGTGAAGGCAATCTTTAGTATGCACATTAAAATTTTGGTGCAACTCTTGAGAAATCCCTCTGCAAGGATGGGAGGCACGTCCAAAATGCAGCCCCAACACCCAAGGCTATGGGCAACACTGCTGGGACTCAGGCAGACTTGAAATTCCAGGGCCAAGCCATGATATCTGTTGGCCTCCGATCTCATGTATACTGTACCAGGAGAAGTGATAAATCATTTTGGCACACTTGCTGGGAATAGCAGCCCTCAATAAAAGACCAAAACTCAAGTGAGGCAGCCTGACACTGCGCTATTCCCAGTGCACTCTGTTACACAGATTAATCCTTCTTGATGGAGAATTACAATTAGGGCTCCATTTTAAGGAGATATCAGCAATCAGATATCTTATCAAATGCCAGCTCAATTATTCAAATAATCCCTGGCTCTAGATTTGGGGGCTGTTTAGGGAAAGTGGTACGATTAATGTGCTGACGCTTCCCCATCACGTCTGACATTCTCAACTTCATGTCTGATTACAGAATTTGCATTCAATTTAATTTTTCCATCTGGAGTAAATGAATAATCCGAGTACCTACCCCATCCTTAATTACATTTGTTAAATTAAAAACTGGGATGTGAGAAATTTAAATGCATGTAGCTTTGCGGCCAGACAAACTGCACGTTCAACCTGCTGTCTCCTGCTCCAATTTCTTTCCCTTCCCCTCAGCCATGCATCAAAGAAATTACAACTAGAAAACAAAAATTCTTTATAAATGATGAAACAATAGATGATCTTTTGACATTTCCAGTACTGTTTGCAGGGGAATGAGATAAAATGTAATAAATTCATATACTTCTGTGTGTTTCTTGGCTCCAGCAGCTAAAATTTCCATCTCTTTATGCAGGAGTCCTGGGGAGCAGAAATCCTTGATAATGCCAAACAATTCGACACTTTATTTTCTCTTTACTCCACACCATGCAAAACACAGGCTTCAAGCTGCCAGCTGCTGGGAGTGAAACCAGATGCCACATCCCTTTTCCATATGGAAACAGAAATCACCCCGTCTGGGGGTGTTTGTGATTGCAGCACTCTGTGACCCTGGGGTTGCTACCAGCACCCAACAAAGCCTCCCCTCAACAACTAAAAATAATAATATTGCAATGTTGCAGTTATAATTCCTCTCCCTCAGTCCAGTTTAGACCAGACCCTGGTATCACCTACTCTGGACATTAGCAGGGAAGGTTTGGCCTGAGCCACCAAATTTCCTAATTTTTAAATGCAAAGGTAAACATGGAGGTGGAAATAGAACCATCAAATTTGATGTGTTTTTTTTTTAAACAGTTTTGCAGAAGCTTGATAAATTCTCATTCTTTTGGAGAAATGCACCCTGATGAAAACTTGAAGTGTTGGAATTAATAGGTAGATTCAAGGGGATGGTGAGAAAAGGACAGCCTGATAAAAAGAATAGTTAAACACAAAGATAAAGCATTTACAACTTTGGCTGTGTTCGGAGCAGTAGTCCACACATCATGTGATGGGAAATGTCAGATAAATATATCTGGATGTTGATTTCTGCTAGATGCCAGTGACAACAAGTATGTTCAGGGAAGTCTGTTCTTAGCACTCCCAAAGAGTATTTGAATAAAATAACTTGTCTATGGGCAAGTAACAGTGCAATGGTATGATCCCCTGGTTTGGGGCTTGCAAGACTGGTAATAAAACACAGCTAAAAATATTCAGGAAAGCCATGCTTGGGTAAAGCGAGACAGGTGAGAGCAGAGCCAAAAATAGCTCTTCCCTTTGCTCCCAGCATGCTCTCAGCTAAGGTGACATTTCTGCACTTCAGGGAAGCTGGATTTGACTCACCCCCCAAAAAAATCCCCTTGGAGGAGTGTATCTGGTTGACCTTGGCCCAACCCTGGTGGCAGGATTTGGCCATTGGAGAAATCCCCTTCACAAGTGGGCGGCTCCGATGCTGTATTGTGGGTGCTGAGGTTCATCTTCCTTTCTTCTGCTTTGTTTTGAGTTAACAGTTATGGTGCCGGAGGAGAAAACATCATGTTTTAGCAATGAGGTCCCCAGTGAGTCTGTTTAAAAATTAATTAGTGCCATGCAACGTATTAGCTATGAATAATAATTCTAGCTTTGTACCTATTTCACTGCCTTCCACACCACCAGTATTCCAGCTTTTATACGGTCCTTTTAGCCAACTGGGCCCCAATACTGAGGGTACCAAGGAAATTGTTGTCCTGTCTTCTGAAAATACCCCTATCCAACACCAAACATTTGCCGTGTGTTTTCTGTGGTGCTTTTAAATAACTAAAGGTTGTGGTTGCTAAGCTGGCTGCAAAGTACGCATCTCTCACAGGTACAGGTTCATGGCATACCAAAACTGCAGCTGCCCAAGGGCAGAAGCCTGGCCAGACACTCATGGCTCTCATGCAAGGTGGTTTGTATGGAAGAAGCAATGGGTCCTGGTTTTATCCAGGATCTAGGACAGAGGTCCTCTGAACATGGAGATCCCTCCACGGCTGGAGATTCCCCCAACCCTGAGCAGGGAGAACCTTCCAGGATGGAGATCCCACCACTGCCACCATCCTCATGTATGGAGATCGTCCAAGGATGGACATCTGTCTCTGAGGATGGAGATCTGCCAACTCCAAGGACAAAGCAACTCTAGCAACCTCAGGGAAGAAGATCCCCATAACCCAAAGACGAAGGTCCCCCAACTCTGAAGGTAAAGATCTCTCAGCTCCAAGGATGGAGCACCACAAAAAACAAGGATAAAGATCCTCCTCACCCCAAGCACAGAAGTACACCCAGCTCCTAGGATGGCAATCCCCCTCCCCCACACACACTACAAAAGTGGAGATCCTCAAAAGCCAAGGATGTGGGCCCTCCCAGCCCTGAGGATGGAGACCCCCCCCAAACTCCAAAGATGGAGACCCTCCCTAATGTGTTTATGCAGACCTTCCAAGGAGAGGTTCCCTGTGTCGACGAGGATGAAGATCTCACCAAAACGTAAGGATAGAGACCCCTTTCCCTGATCCGAAAAAGGGAGATCACCCCATCACCCTGCAGGCCAGCTGGCCCCCTCCACTGCCCTGCTAGCCACAGGGATGCCGAGTAATCCAGCAGCCCATGCATTTGGGCAGTGAAGCCCCATGGAAACAAGGTGACAGATGCTGAGAAGCCTCACCACATCAGCCGCCTTCAGGTGGATGGCGAAGCCGACAGAAATTTGTAGGGACATCTGGAATATATTCATTTTATGGCATGTTTCATATCATGGACAGGTACTTTGAAGCTGTAAGTAGTAGCAGGGCGGCACTTCCCCCTGGGTGGGCTGTGGTTTGTGCTTTCAGCCCGAGCTGCCCTGGCGTGACAAAGAGGCTGGGGACACAGAGCTGACGTTTTCCAAACACAGCTTTGTGTCTCTGGGGCAAATCCAGAAGCAACTTAAAAACCAAAGGAAAAAAAGGAAAACAGAAAAAAAAAAGGGGGGGGGGAGGGCAGGGGGAATGAAAAAACCAACCTCCATGTCTTTAAGTGATGTTGATCCCCACATCAGGCTATTAACAGTCCCATCACAAATTGTGAACGACTCAGATAAATTTAATGGCTTAGCAGCTGTGACAAAAGGCCCTTCTGAAGATTCATTTATTTTGTGGAAAAGAAATTACTTAGGAATTTTAAATCTTTCCAGCTTCTTGATGCAGACGCCTGCCAAAGCCCGCATGTTGGTGGCATGTTGGTGCATGGCCCCAGGGCTGCAGCCAACCCCTGAAGGAAAAGTCCTCTGCTAGCATCCCAAAGCAGGGGACATGGACGTGTGCCCATTAGCACACCGCTAATGAGGCTGCACCTCTCATGTTCACCCCCGGCAACTGTATTAAAAGCCTTGAACAATGAAGAGTCCTTAAAACAGTATGATTTGGCTCAAACACCTCATGGAGAAGGAAACCCAACACTAGAGAACAGCAGCGACCGAGCTGCAAAAACCAGGGCGGTGGTAAGATGCTGGCTCCCCATGCGGAATGACAAACCCTAAACCTTCCCACTTCCCTTGACAGTCCCAGTCAGGGAAACACTGGGGCCAAGCTGTGCTTTCCAGCCTGCAAGTGAATGCCCTTTCACCCATGTCAACACATGAAAATAATGTGTTAAACCACTTCTAAGAGCTCTCAGCATTCAGAGGCTTCCCCAGCAACCGCTGCTGTCACCCTCCCCATCCACGTCCCTTTTCAGTCATGCAAGATTGAGGTTTTTCGCCTTCAGCCACATTCATACTTTATTGCACAAGCAGCACCATCTCAAAACTCCTTTTAGTTGAAGTTCAGAGCTATAAAAGATGCAAAATGCCCCTGAATTATTCACACAGTGTTTCAGTAGAAGCTGGTAACGGCACCAGCATGGGATCAAGTGAAGGATCTGGGGATGGAGCCACGGACCTGTGTTGTCTCCTTGTCTCCATTTGGGTGGAAAAATGCTTCTTGAATATGCTGGGGGGAAGGAGAGGGTAAAATAAAAGGGTGTCCCCAGTCTAGAAAAGGCTGGAGAGTGAGGAAACACAAGGAGCACCTATTTTTCAGATCCAACATAACCCAGATGTTTTGGATGTTACTCCTCTTCCCTCCTCCTCCCCGCCCCCCCCCCCCCCCCCCCCCTCCCCCCAAGAATTAGTTGTTTATTATTTTTCCCCATTGCATTTTATTTATTTTATTTTTTTTTAAGCATGAGATGGTTGCTGTTCTGGTAGGCTGGGAGATCTGCAACATTTCTGGCCCTCAGCAAGCTGCTGAGCAGCAGTGCTGCATTTGCCCTTTGGCGATGCTGAAGCCTTCTCAAACTTTACAAGACTGCAGCACCAAAATTAAAACATGGCACAGGAGGAGAAAATGCAAACCAAGAAATGCCATTCTGGGAAGAAGGGATAGAAGCAAACAAAAAATGGGAAAATTTGATTAAGAAACTCGGAAACAACTTTACACTTCAAATACACAAGGTTTTCAAAAATGAAAAACCCTGAAAGGTTTTTTCCTTCTATATTTACCTCTGTTTTGCTTCTTTCCATTTCACTGAACAACCAGGCGGTCCCAAGCTGGGATTTCCACCCAGTCTTCAGCTCCTACTGGGGGCAAAAACCCAACAACTCCATGCAGAAAAACCCCACAAAAGTAGGACACTAAGCCCTGCTAGATCCAAACTCAGCTTGATGCTCACTAATTACCCAGTAATAGTATTTATATGCTGCTGTCACGCTCAGAAATGCGGCTCCTAATAACTGAGGTCTGCATCAATATTAATGTCCTGGCTTGACTCTCAATACCCAGGGACTGGCAGAAGACAAAGAAACATCACAGCAAAGTGAAGTGGGGAGATGAAAAAAGAATGTATTTTTTCCATGTTTGGCAGGAAGAGAGTGCTTGAGATCAAATGATGGGATCCCCATGGGTGAGGATTAGCAATGACAGCAAATATAAATTATAGGTTCCCACCAATCTTTCAGTGGCAGAATTTTTTTGTCATCTGTAATCCCTTCCCCAAACTTTTATTTCCCCATAGGCAGGAATGGGCTGGAAAAACTCTTTCCTTCTTATGGGAATGAATTTGTAAAGTTTGGGGCTGATCAATCTCCTGTTACCTGAGTCGCTCCAATATAAGCAGCAGCAAATGCAAACCTCAGCCTGCTTTTTGTTGCACATGCAAAACGCCAGGTTTTGGGTTGGCTCATAAAGAAAGAAACAACTCTTGAAATAAGCTTTCAGGAAGCATTTCTTTTTGGTGACACTCCAATTCCTACAAAAAGAAGGACAACATCCCCCGTCCTTCACAAATACTATATGTACACCATTATTTTCAGA